CCGGCGGCGCTGGCTTGCCGCTGATCAGGGCGCCCCCTGGGGGCCGCCGCGCACGTCACAGAGGGTGCTGCCGCGTGGGACCCTGCACCTCCAAGTCTCCTAGGAAAGCTGCCGAGATAGCCAGCACATCACCCCCACAGTCCACTCTCAGACATCAACCAGCCCTGACCACAGGCTTCCTGAACTGTGTCTTTTTCCTATAGGACACGCCCTCAGGTGGGCACCGCAGGAGCCTGCGCTGGGTCTGGCCTGGCTGTACAAGCTGCACGATCTCGATCTCGCGCGTTCAGCACAAGCGCTGAGGGCTTCGGGCGTGCTCTGCTGAACAGCCACCACTTAGGGTCACAGAATCTTCAGGCTTGTAGGTAGAGCTCACCCCAGCCCTCTGCCTGGTTTGCAAGGGAATAAACCTGCTTCCCAAATGCTGTGCGCGAGGGAGGCCTGGATGGAAACCCAGGACCTTCCCACTGGCCGGCATTGCAGAGCATCACACCAGGACCAGGCCGCCCCGTGGTCCCTACACATACTCTCAGCTGCCAGCAGCCCCTCCCCTCCCCAGGTGCCCACATTCCCAGCTGGCAGAGGCTGGGAGTGGATTGTCATGAGGACCCTCTGGGGGTGCCTGTCTCTTTCTCTGCCTCTGTTTCTCTCCATGTCTCTCTCTCCTGGAAGAAATGAAACATTTGTTAAAAAAGAGTATGTTTAGCTTTGTGAGAAACTGCCAAACAGCCTGTCGTAGAAAGCTGAAGTCCACATGCACACACACACAAACTGCATGTGGATGTCACAGCAGCTTTATTCATAATTGCCAAAATTTGGAAGCAAATGAGATGTCCTTCAGTAGGTGAGTGGATCGATGGCGGTAGATGCAGAGGATGAAATATTACTGAGCACTACAAAGAACCATCAAGCCTAGGAAAGACAAGGAGGGACTGTAAATGCGTATTGTCAAGTGAACAAAGCCAATCTGAAAAGGCTACCTACTGTATGATCTCATTATGTAATAACATCTGGAAAAGGGAAAACAATGGAGACAGTACAAAGACTGGTGACGGGGCCAGCTGGTGGCGTGGTGGTGAAGGCGAAGGATCCCACATGGCCAGTTCCATGGTTCGAGTCCCAGACCCAGCAGCCAGAAAATCACTCTGGAGGCATGTATGTCCATACCCAAAATCCCAGCAGGAAACTGGAGAAGGATTGTGGTCGGGCTACCTACCCTGGAGGGTGATTTCTTTCTCTCTCTGTCTCTCTCTGGCAAGCACACACAACCTATGGCAAAAAAAAAAAAAAAGTAAAACAGACAACAAAGGTCGGTGGTGGTGCCACCAGTGGTGTGGTGGTTACAGTGGCTGAATCCCACAACGTGGACTGGGTGGTTGAGTCCTGGACCGCGATTTGAAAAACATGCCCAGCACCTATGTGGGCATGCCCAGGATTCCAAGGGAGGTGGTGTGGGCATCCCGCCTGGGAGGTGCTTTCTCACTGCTCTCCCCACTGAGCACCCATGCCCTATAACAAACTTTTAAAAAATGGAAGAGAAAAAAAAGTGGTTGCCAGGGATTAGGGAGGAGAGAGGGATGACTAGGGATTTTCAGGGCCGTGAAGCCAAACCGTATTACACTATGAAAACGGGTGCACGTCATCGTCTGTCAAAATGCACAGCATGTACACCACCATGGTGGGCCCTCACGGAAACTGTGGACTTCGGGTGATGATATCGTGCCAACGGGGATCTGCTGTCACGAATGTGCCGCTCCAGGGAGGATGCTGACAGTGGAGGTGTGCCTGCAGGGGGAGGTGGGACTGTCTTCTCCACTCAGCTCTACCGTCAATCTGACACTGCTCTGAAAAATCACGTCTGTTTTAAAAGTGGTCTGTTGACTGGGCCAATGTGACACAACAGGTGTGTGGCATCGCTGGCGAGCCTAAGGCTGGCCAGGGTGTGTTTAGAGTTAATGTGATAAATAGGTACAAAACACAAAGTATCTTTTTTTTTTTTTTTGAGAGGTTTCTTTTTTTTCACTATAGGGCACATGCGCCAGACAGAGAGAGACAGAGAGACAGAAAGCGAGAAATCACCCCCGGAGGGGTGGTCACGCCGCAATCCCTTCTCCTCCATTCTCCTCTTGGGATCTTGGGCACGCATGCCCACGTGCCCAGCATGAGCCTAAGCCACTGGGTCCAGGAATCGAACCACAGTCGACTACATGGGAGTCCAGCGACATAGCTACTACGCTAACTGCTGGTCCCTAAACACAAAGTATCTTTTTGAAAGCAAAGTCAGTTCCATACCCTTTGAGAGCACATACATCCTTGTTTACCATAAATCATTCTGACATTTTATAATTGCCAGGTGCCACTTACGAACAAGTATTTCAACATGTCAGTGCTCTACATGTGGATGAAAAAACTGCTGTATGAAGACATTAACTTAAATTCTACTCCAGTGTAAAAAGCTCAGTTTAGTCATGGTTATAGTCATGCTTTAAAAAAAGAAAGAAAGGAAGGAAGAAAGAAAGAATAGAGTCAGCCGGTGGTGTGGTGGTTTAGGTGGCTGGATCCTAGCATGGTTTGAGTTCTGGACTGGTCAGCCTCAAAAGCATGCCAGGCATGGATACACACATGCTCCAAATCCCAAAAAGGAGAGAAAAATGGAGAAAGACCTGCAGCGTAACTGCTTTCTCACTTTCCCTCTCTCTCTCTCTCTCTCTCTCTCTCTCTCTCTTTCTCTTTCTCTGGCAAGCACATGCATCCTATATAGCAAATTGAAGAATAATGATAAATTAGGGTCCAGCAGATGGTGTAATGGTTATCGCTGGCCTCCCACATAGTCAACTGCGGTTGGAGTCCTGGACTCGTGCTGGGCGTGTGTGCATATGTGCCCAAAATCCCGAGAGGAGACTGGAGGAGAAGGGATTGCAATGTGGCCATTCCCCCTGGGGGTGATTTCTAGCTCTCTGTCTCTCTCTGTCCCTCTCGTGAGCGCACACACCCTATAGCAAAAATCTCTTTTTAAAAAAGATAAAGTAAATGAGGTAAAATATTAACAAAGTGAAACTGCGTAAGGGACAGATGGGTGTTCCCTGTACTGTTTTTATTGACCGCGACTTTCTGTAAACTTAAAGGTACTGCTTTTATTTTAAAGAAAATCAATTGGAAGAATAAACAAGTACAGATAACTAATAAAAGTATTAAACACAATGGAGAGTAAATGATGGTCCCTACTGATTTTAGAAGATGTTAGATCTTTTCTCCACATTCTAGGCCATAATATACATTTAAAAAATATATTTAACTTTATTTATTTATTCATTCATTTATTTCAATTTGACCAGAGAGGGATAGAGAGAGAGAGAGAGAGAGAAAGCCGCCCAGTCCAGGAGTCGAACCACAGTTGGCCATGTGGGAGGCCAGCATCCTTAACCACCATGCCACCTGCCAGTCCCCATAATATACAGTTTACCCATGTGTTTATACATAAGTTTGATCAATGTATCCATGTAATCAATAGAAAAGCTACTCAACAAAAAGGGGGTGTGTGTAAGAGAAACGAAGATTAAAAAACAAGTTCTGGAGACAGCTTGGTGTTTAAGTTTGAGCCGTCCCACTTACTAGCACGGAACCTGGGAAAGTCTGGCAAAAGCTCTGTTGTGGTGTCCTCACCCGTCACCTGAGTCACTATAGTTCCTTCTGCAAAGACTAGTTAGGAGGATGAAGTATCCGTTGGCTGTCTATAATAGAACTGAAACGAAAACCCAAATGACATTTTTGTATCTTCAGAATGAAACTACTTATTCTTAGCTATTTTTTTTAACCAACACCAAAACTAATCTATATAAATCATAGGAGACTTTGAATGACAAAACATCAGAGGAGATACCCATAAAGACAATGTCCCAAGAGAATCACTGTTAGCGTTTTACATTATTTTTTTTTTTCAGGATAAGTTGTTCAATAGTCTGAAAGACTGTGACATAATGGCCACATAACTTAGGTTTACGTCCTCCTGTTGTTAGACAATGTACTTAAGTTCGGTCT